TTGGGAAGCTAAGGCAGGAGGATTGCTTGAGGCTAAGAGTCTGAGATCAGCCTGGTCAACATAGTGAGACCCCATCTCTATGAAAAATTTAAAAATTAGCCAGGCATGGTAGCATGGACCTGTGATTCTAGGTACTTGGGAGGCTGAGGTGGGAGGATTACTTAAGTCCTAGAGGTTGAGGCTACAGTGAGCCATGATTGAGCCATTGCACTCCAGCCTAGGCAACAGAATAAGACCCCGTCTCTCACACACACACACACACACACACACACACACACACAAAACGTAATTTAGGCAAATTACTTGTCTCCTTTATTCATTCACTACTATTATTTCAGTTAATAATTCTCTGATTATCTGAAACTAGAAACCAAGTTAAGAAACTGAGAAGGCTAGGAGTAGCCATTTTTTTTAAGAGACGGTCTTACTCTGTTGCCCAGGCTGTAGTATATTGGTGCAATCATAACTCACTACAGCCTTGAACTCCTGGGCCCCAGTGGTCTACTTCAACCTCCCAAGTAGCTGAAACCACAGGCATATGCCATGATGCCTGGCTAATTTTTAAACAATTTTTTGTAGAGATAAGGTCTCACTGTGTTTCCTAGGCTGGTCTCCAACTCCTGGGCTCACGTGATCCTCCTGCTGCAGTCTCCCAAAGTGTTGGGATTATAGACGTGAGCCACCATGTCCAGCCAACTCTGACTTAATGTGAAAAGAAATTAACTAAAATTTTGATCTCCACACAATCAAATTTGTATCTCAGATAATACACACACAATCAAATTTGTATCTTAGATAATACAGGGGTGTTATTCTCCTCTCTTCTTAGTTCACACCATTTCACATTGTTCCCAGGTCTAATGGTGAGTTTGACTTACCACTTCTCAGCTTGCTTACCCAGTTGATTTTCTAATGCTGTCTCACTTGGCCCCTATTAGACATTTGCAACTGAGATCTCTAATATTTTGAGTAACATAAGAGAAAAATTCTGTAAGTCTTAAAGATATGCTTTGTAGAGTATTTGGGTAGAATTTTCAGGACTTTTGTTATTGAAGGCAGGGTTTCTTAATCTTAGCACTATCCACATTTTGGGCAGGATCATCCTTTGTTGTTGAGGGCTGTCCTATGCATTGTAGGATCTACCCAGGAAAAGCCAGTAACACTTCCTTCCTCAGTTGTGACTACCAAAAATGCCTTCAGACATTGCTAAATGTCCCCTGAGGGGCAAAACTGCCCAAATTGATTACCACTAATCTAAAGTATATTTCTTCTTCTTCGTTTTTCTTTCTTTTTTAATGTATAACCAAAAGAACTATTTACTTCTTTTTTCTTAAACTTTTTTTGGGAGCAGTTTTAGATTTACAGAAGAACCGAACAGAAAGTACAGAGATTTCCTTTATACCCCCTCTTCCTACCCCCACTGCTTCCCCTGTTATTAACATTTTGCATTAGTGTGGTACATTTGTTGCAAAAGTCTATAATCAAATTAGGGTTCACTCTGTGTTGTACAGTTATACAGGTTTTGTCAAATGCATAATGTCATATATCCACCATTACAGTATCATACAGAATAGTTTCAGTAACCTAAAAATCTTCTGTGTTCTATCTGTTTAAGTATACTTTTTTTGTTTTTGTTTGTTTGTTTGTTTTTTGAGATAGAGTCCCGCTCAGTCACCCAGGCTGGAGTGCAGTGGTGCAGTCTCGGCTCACTGTAACCTCCGCCTCCCAGGTTCAAGTGATTCTCCTGCCTCAGCCTCCCAAGTAGCTGGGATTACAGGCATGCACCACCACACCTGGCTCATTTTTTGTATTTTCAGTAGAGACAGGGTTTCACCATGTTGGCCAGGCTGGTCCAAACTCCTGACCTCAGGTGATCCACCCGCCTTGGCCTCCCAAAATGCTAGGATATCAGGCATTAGCCACCATGCCTGGCACACCCGGATAATTTTTGTATATTTTACTAAACCCTGCTCTACTGAGCAGGGTTTCACCACATTGGCTAAGCTGGTCTTGAATTCCTGACTTCAGGTGATCTGCCCGCCCCGGCCTCTCAAAGTTTTGGGATTACAAGCATGAGCCTCCACATCCAGCTAATTTTTTTTTTTTTTTTTTTTTTTAAACAGTCTTGCTCTGTCACTTAGGCTAGAGCGCAGTGGTGCAATCTCAGCTCACCACAACCTCTGCTGCCTCCTGGGTTCAAGCAATTCTCTTGCCTCAGCCTCCTGAGTATCTGGGATTACAGTCATGTGCCACCACGCCCATCTAATTTTTGTATTTTTTTTTTTTTTTTTTTGAGATGGAGTTTCGCTCTTGTTACCCAGGCTGGGGTACAATGGTGTCATCTTGGCTCACCACAATCTCCACCTCCTGGGTTCAGGCAATTCTCCTGCCTCAGCCTCCTGAGCAGCTGGGATTACAGGCACGCACCACCATGCCCAGCTAATTTTTTTAGTAGAGACAGGGTTTCACCATGTTGACCAGGATGGTCTCAATCTCTTGACCTCGTGATCCACCCGCCTTGGCCTCCCAAAGTGCTGGGATTACAGGCGTAAGCCACCGCGCCCAGCCCTAATTTTTGTATTTTTAATAGAGACAGGGTTTCACCATGTTGGCCAGGCTGGTCTCGGACTTCTGACCTCAGGTGATTTGCCCACCTCGGCCTCCCAAAATGTTCTTATTACAGGCGTGAGCCACCACACCCGGCATACCTGGCCAACTTTTGTATTTTTAATAGAGCAGGGTTTCACCATGTTGGCTAAGCAGGTCTTGAATTCCTGACCTCAAATTATCCGGCCACTGTAGCATCCCAAAGTGCTGGGATTACAGGCGTGAACCACCACGCCTGGCACTTTTTTTTCAAGGTAGTCGAAACTCTCCTTAAAATGATCCCTAATCCACTTCCCTATTAATGCACATTTTAGTTGCTGCTCAGTGATTAGTACCCAAAAAAGGTCTTAATGAATGAATATTCATTGTTATCTCAGATACTGGCTCATGATTAACCTTTGGTAATTTATTGATTTATTCAGCCAGCATTTCTAAACAAACAGCATCTTATAACTGGAGTAGATTCTGATTGTGTATAGTATAAATTAGTCTTGAAAATTCTTGGGAAAATGATATGTTGAAGACTAAACTTCATCTTTCAATAAATCCAACACAGGTGGTATTTTTCTCCAGTTGAAACACACAGCTATTTCTTTAGTTAGGCACTGGATATAAAGATTGCTTGCGTTTAACAGACATGTATTAAATGCCTGAATGCTGGAAAAATCTCAGTGTCATGAGATACTTGTGCTTTGAGGGATATAGGACTAAGGACAAAGCTTCACGTCACCCATTTTGTACTTATTCTCAACCATGAGCTTATTGAATGGAATGACACAAAATTTCTCCTTCACTTTTCTTTCCCTTTTGGCTGACTGCATTTGTATGAGTTAAAAACAATTCTATCATATGCCACTCATTTCTACATGTTAGGCATGTAGTATACATTTACACATTTTTGTTCACTGAAAAAATAAATTTAAGGCAAATAGCAGCTTCCAATCCCGTAAGGTCTCCACTGCCACAAAATTAACTATAATCCAAGTAAGTGAATGCTAGGCTGGGTTCTTGAGACATGACCTATGGTTCATCTGGCTCCAGAAGATAACAACATGCATGTGGTTGATGGGGATGATTCATAGCACGATGTTATCCTAAATTTATCATTTTTTAATATATGCATGCATTTGCCTTTGATTTTTTAAAAAAAATCACAATTTAGAAGTAAATGTTTCTGACAGTCTTGGGTTTGAAAAAAAAAGTAAATGTGCCATGCCAGATAAAACATAAAAGAGATTATTAAGAAAAATAAAAATACTGGGAGTTGACAGTTGACCTTTCATATGAATAAATTGGATTCTGGTATATTTTGATTTTCAGGAAGCACAAACCAGTTTCCCAAGATTGTCAGTGTGGTTAAGCCGTAACACTCATATTTCAAATGAATAGAGAGATTTATTCTTATGTAAGAACAGGAGCCAAGTGATTTTTTTTATTTCCTGTAGTAATTTGGAAAGCTAGATCTTTCACCTGTAGGAAAGGCCACAACCCTGGCTTTGAAATATAATATCACTAAGGAATGTTTCAATGTTTGGTCCTCCAGCTGGAGGGCTCATCTACTTCAATAGATAATAATAGTGTCTACTGCATGGGAATGCTTGTGGTGAGCCTCATATGAGGTAAATAATGCCCAAGAAGTGTGCTGCATGGTACCTCGCACTTGGGAGCTTTTCATCAAAGGGTAGCTAGTGGTAAAGATAGGAAGAAGTGGGAAGTAGGAAGAGTTAGCATTATGCTGTTTGATGAATACCAGTTTGATCAGAATTTTGAGTAGGTGTTTCATGTACTTATTCTACGCTCTAATAGGCTCTAGATAATCATGTTCATTTCCTCATAGATTATATCCTTAAATACTCCATGCTTAGAGTATTTTCTCTCATAACCAACTATGACTGGGTAGGATTACCTGTTCTCCCTTTTTTAAAGTTCTGTAAAGAACACATCTTTCTCTTGACGACTAGAATTTTGCTGGGTTTGGTGTTTGTTTATTTGAGACAGAATCTCACTTTTTTTTTAAATTAGTGAACGAATTGAACCAAAAGAATCTCACTCTTGCCCAGGCTGGAATGCAGTGGCATGAGCTCGGCTCACCACAACCTCTGTCTCCTGGGTTCCAGCTATTCTCCTGCCTCAGCCTCCTGAGTAGCTAGAATTACAGGCGTGTGCCACTGCGCCTGGCTAATTTTTGTATTTTTAGTAGAGATGGGGTTTTGCCATGTTGGCCAGGCTGGTCTCGAACTCCTGACCTCAGGTAATCCACCCGCCGGGGCCTTCCAAAGTGCAGGGATTACAGGCATGAGCCACCGTGCCCAGCCTTTGCCATTTTATAGTTAGATGATAGCTGACCTTACATGAGGTACATTTTAGTTCACTTAACATGACTTAAGAGATACCTTGGGTTTCATCAGAAACACGTTTTCCGGTCATCTTCTATTCAAGAGATTTCTGCAGATGGCTGACTTGGTCTGCTATATTTCAGAGGGTTGTAAGGAAATAACAGAAGAGTAATATAAAGGACTACATAAACCATTCATTGCAATCATATCTATTATGAAAAATTGGTGATGGTATGTGAACGGTTTCATGATAACCAGTATTCCAACATGATGAATATTATGTAGCCTCTAAAGATAATCAGTAAGATATTATAGGAACATGGAGAAAGTAGATAATGAAATGTGAAGAATGCTGTGTAAAAATAAAATGTGAAAAATGTACAATTATAATTATGTATAAAATAGACACATGCAGAACATATTATAAACTTCAAAATCTCGTCGTACAACTCAGTTGTTAGATTTGGGGGCTGTTTCTACTTAGAGTCCATAACCATGTGTATGTTGGCTCGAACATGCTGTAAATAGTTATTTTTCGGATCTCATTCTTTTGGTGACAGGCTTGGATAATTCTCTTGGATAATAGTACCTGATATTACCATATTCCATTTCTTTTTAGTGATGAAAATGCCAGGAAAGATTTAAAGACATTACCAGCCTTTCCAACCAAAACTCTTCAGGAGCATCCATCCCTTGCTTACTGGTAAGCCAAATCCACATGACAGGTGACCCCTTCTCATAGCCTCCATTGAGAACTGCATGCTTTTTGGGATATTAAAAGACATATAAGTGAGAAAAATATCACACTGCCCAACAATAGTATAAAGAAACCATAGGTAGGCCTTAATCCTTTCAGTGAAAGGATCTACTCGAAGTTCACTGGAGATCATTATATCAAGATGTGTCTTGCAGTCATTTGCAAAGAGCAACTGGCTGATGTTTCTTTCAAGTGTGTTAAATGTCTTAGAGTGTGCTTCTAGATGAATATACAATACTCAATGTATGTGCAGGTATTGTGTAATGCAGTGCAGCCTTAATCTAGCACTATGCAATTTAAGTGTTATAAAATACAAATTTCCTTGGATCAAAGATTTTCTTAATGACCAGAGGTTATACTATAGCCAGGTATCATTATATATATTGAGTTGGTTTAGTTGTTTGTATTTTAATGAATCCATAGTATCTATTTTCATTCCACATTTTTTCTAAATTACTCCCTTAAAATACTTACATTCTCATTAAATATTCTCCTTTGTTTCAGTCTGAATCTTCATGATGATTTTTCTTTCCACTAACATGTTTTTCAAAATAAAGATTACAAAATAAATATTTACCAAGGCTACTTAGCATCTTGACTCTGGAAGCTTCTAACCATGTCATTTTCAAGTGATAGTTTTTTCTTTCCTTCCTTCCTTCCTTCCTTCCTTCCTTCCTTCCTTCCTTCCTTCCTTCCTTCCTTCCTTCCTTCTTTCTTTCTTTGAAATGGAGTCTTGCTCTGTTGCTCAGGCTGAAGTGCAGTGGCGTGAACTCAGCTCACTACAACCTCCGCTTCCCGGGTTCAAGCAATTCTCATGCCTCAGCCTCCCAAGTAGCTGGGATTACAGGCACCCACCACCATGCCTGGCTAATTTTTGTATTTTTAGCAGAGTCAGAGTTTCACCATGTTGTCCAGACTGGTCTCAAACTCCTGACCTCAGACAATCCACCCGCCTCAGCCTCCCAAAATCCTGGAATTACAGGCATGAGCCACTGGCCTGGCCAAGTAATAGTTTTTTAATTAAAAAAAAAAAGACAATACTAATCCTAGCACTTTGGGAGGCCGAGGCGGGTGGATCACGAGGTCAAGAGATCAAGACCATCCTGGTCAACATGGTGAAACCCCATCTCTACTAAAAATACAAAAAATTAGCTGGGCATCGTGGTGCGCGCCTGTAATCCCAGCTACTCAGGAGGCTGAGGCAGGAGAATTACCTGAACCCAGGAGGCGGAGGTTGCAGTAAGCCAAGATCACGCCATTGCACTCCAGCCTAGGTAACAAGAGTGAAACTCTGTCTCAAAAAAAAAAAGAAAAAAAGAAATACTTAGTCTTCTGGGTTATACTTGAGATTTCCTTTCCAGTCAACAGGTTTTACTCTAGGACAATAAAAGGGTTTTCTCCTAAAGCAAGGTGTCTGTAAGTGGTGGTAATAGAGTATTTTAGATTGCACACAGACTCAGAAGCAATTTAAATTCTTTTAAAATCTTTCTGAATCACTCAAGGAGAAAGTCTTTAATGCCTAACACTTGCTGATCTCCCTGTTTTAATCAAAGAGAGGATGGGCCTTACGCTCAAAATTTTCTCAACAATGTTCTACAACTAACATTTGATATCATTATTTTATATGTATTGTATCCCCTATGGCAGAAGATCATTTTTGATTTAATAAATTGATATTGTTTTCTTTTCTAGTAAATTATTTTTTTGTTTGTTTTTTGTGACAGAGTTTTGCTCTTGTCACCCAGGCTGGAGTGCAATGGTGTGATCTCAGTTCACTGCAACCTCCATCTCCTGGGTTCAAGCAATTCTGTGCCTCAGCCCAAGTAGCTGGGATTATAGGCATGTGCCACCACATCCAGCTAATTTTGTATTTTTAGTAGAGACTAAGTTTCACCATGTTGGCCAGGCTGGGCCTCAAACTCCTGACCTAAGGTAATCTGCCCACCTTGGCTCCCCAAAGTGCTGGGATTGCGGGTATGAGCCATTGTACTTTAAGTTTTAAAGGTAGTTATATGTATATGTGTGTGTGTGTGTATATATATATATATGTGTGTATTATATAAATATGCTACACAAAATGTAAGTGAAAGATGATAAGGAAGGCAGTCAAATGTCTGAAGTTCAGGAATTCATCTCCTATGGAAACAAAAACCAAACTCTAGCTATCAGACAAGTTGGTAAAGGCTTCCTCTCAAGTTTCCAGCAGCCACCTGATAATATGGAAACTGCCTGTACCTCAGGTAATCATGTATTGCCATCTTTCTCATTTCTTTGTTTTACAGCGAGGACAGGGTAATTGAGCATTATTTGAAAATCAAAGGTCTCACTCGGGGTCAAGCTGTGGTTCAGTAAGTATCTTTCTTTCCTTTTGCTTAGGTATAATTTTAATATCTCCCATTTGAAGATGTCACTTGAAATAATTTCTATTATGTAGTTTTTGTGAACACAGTCCTTATCTGGTTAGAAATATCTTACCACCAATTAGAAAATGTCTCGGGTCATTCTATACACTGGTGTCATCAACTCAGATACCTACCAGTGTCAGGCAGTAACAAAAATGAGAAACATAGGCCAGATGTAGGGCAAAAGGGAATGGTGGGGGCTGTGGCAAACAAGTGAGCTTTCATCCTGAGTAGAGGCAAAGTTACTCAGCTTTATAATTCAGGCGTAATGTTGCCAGGTCCTTTGTTTTCCAAGAGAAGCTGGAAATTCACATTTTTAAATCTTACCTCACTGGGAAGTAATTTAAAGAAAATTTAATGCAATGTTAGCCAAACAAAACCTATCTAGAGGCCATGTTTTGTTCCCCAGTTTGTGACTCTACTTTGAATGCAGTGCATAGTATATTGGCGTCAGATAATCTGTTTCTTCATGCTGCTAAGAACTAACCATTGTAATGTATTTCTGTATTTTGTGACCTACAGAGTTACCATCCATGATTAAGAACAGGCCAGCACAGCAGCTCATGCCTGTTATCCCAGGACTTAGGGAGGCTGAAGCAGGTGGATCATCTGAAGTCAGGGGTTTGATGCCAGCCTGGCCAACATGGTGAAACCCCATCTCTACTAAAAATACAAAAATTAGCTGGGCATGTTGGTTGGTGCCTGTAATCCCAGCTACTTGAGAGGCTGAGGCCGGAGAATCACTTGAACCAGGGAGGCAGAGGTTTGCAGTGAGCCGTGATTGTGCCATTGTCACTTAGCTGGGGTGACGAGCGAAACTTCATCTCAAAAAAAAAAAAAAAAACCTGCTACACTAAACTTTTAGAATTATTTCTATGCATGTGAAAACTGAAATAGGAATTTAGAGATTGCTAATCTCCTGGTCAGTGTGTGGATTTTCTTCACACTCCTACTTCTTTGCTCTAATCTCTTTTTTTTTTTTTTTTTTTTTTGAGACAGAATCTTGCTCTGTCACCCAGGCTGGAGTGCAGTGGCATAATCTCATCTCACTGCAAACTGCCTCCTGCCTCAGCCTCCTGAGTAGCCGGGATTACACAAGTGCGCGCCACCATGCCCAACGAATTTATGTATTTTTAGTAGAGACAGGGTTTCACCATGTTGGCCTGGCTGGTCTTGAACTCCTGACCTCAAATGATCTGCCCACCTCAGCCTCCCAGAGTGCTGGGATTACATATGTGGGCCACTACACCTGGCCTGTAATCTCATTTTATCAAGACACACCTTCTATTATCTTCACAGCAGAAATCAGAAGTTAGCCTCCTGAAGTTGGATCCTTGACGTTTTAATTCATTGTGCCTATTTTCTGAACTGAAAAGAAAAAAGAAGTAGTGACAATTTCCATTAAGAGTTTTAGGGTAAACTAGTGAGTACAGTCATGCACCATTTCTGTCCACATATACAATGGTGGGCCTATAGGATTATAATGCCATATTGTTACTGTATCTTTTCTTTGTTTAGATACTCAAATACTTACCATTGTAGTATAGTTGCCTACAGTATTTCAGCCCAGTAACATGCTGTACAGGTTGGTAGCCTAGGAGAAATAGGCCATACCATACAGCCTAACTGTGTAGTAGGCTCTGCCATCTAGGTTTGTGTAAGTACACTCCATGATGTGTGCACAAGGACAGAATCAGCTACCATCACAGTTCTCAGAATGTATCCTCATTGTTAAGCAATGCATGATGGTATATTACAAAGCTCCCATGTTTAAGACATGGAATCAACCCAAATGCCTATCAATGATAGACTGGATAAAGAAAATGTGGTACATATACACCTTGTAATGCTATCTGGCCATAAAAAGGAATGAGATTATGTCCTTTACAGGGACATGTGTGAAGCTGGAAGCCATTATCCTCAGCATAAAAACGAATGCAGGAACAGAAAACCAAACACCACTTGTTCTCACTTATAAGTAGGAGCTGAACAATGAGAACACATAGACACGGGGTGGGGATCAACACTTACTGGGGCTTGTCATGGGAGGGCTGGAGTCGGGGAGAGCATTAGAGAAAAGTGCTAATGCATGCTGGGTCTAATACCTAGGTAATGGGTTGTTAGGTGCAGCAAATCACCATGGCACATATTTACCTATGTAACAAACATGCACATCCTGCACATGTACCCTGAAACCTAAAAAACAATTAAAAAAAAAAAGTACCCGTGCTTAAAAGCAGAGTCTTATTCCTTCACCTGATCATTATTGTGTGGCTTCATGTAAGAGACTGTTTCACTTGGTAGTTAAGGCTCTAGGATGTGAAGTCTGACCCATTTTGTTAGAATTCTGGCTGTGCAGTTTAGCTGCCACATGACCTTACACATTTACTTCCTATATTCATTTACATGTAGGCCATATACTTAAAAAAAATCAAATTATTGATTATAGTTTCCAGAGAAACTGATCATCAAAATGTCATTAAAAAGTCTACTTGCATTGAAACAGGAATCCCAGTTCCTTAAGGGCAGAGAGGAAGTGTCACACAATTTAGTCCACTCCAAAGCCTTAAAGGTGTACAATAAATCCTTTTGAATTAAAAATAGCAAGTAGCGGCATTGTTGCTTTAATTTTTATTTTGGGGGGACATTTTTGAAGTCAGGTTTACATAGCGTAATTCATAGTTTTAAAGTATATATTTCTAGGAGTTTGGATAGATATTTCTAGTTATGTAACTTCTACTGCAAGCAATATATGGAATAGCTTTATTTTTTCACTTATGAGTATGACCCAAAAGTTGGTGCTCATTGCTTGCATCATTAAGGGCTTACTTTAAAAAATACTTGCAATTGGAGTTTATAATGCGGCACATTCCTAAGCCATAAGCATTTGAATGTGCAGAAAGTAACATTTTCTATTGCTTTCTGAAAATGAGGTTCTATTAGCAACTTCCTAACATTTGGATAAGCTAAAATATATTACTCTGCAGAATGGTTTATCCTGTTTCTAGAGTGAAACATATCAATTATTGTTATAATGAGGCAAGTAGAAATATGGTGTTTCTTTAAAACACTTTTCCCAGAAGGGTCCTCTGACGATTTTAATAAGATTGTGATACATATTTATTTTCCATAGGTATATGAAAATAGTAGAAGCTCTACCAACTTATGGTGTCCATTATTATGCAGTAAAGGTAAGTAGTTTTATATAACAAAGCTTTCATGATAATTAAGAGTTATTGCACAATGTCAGCTTTTTTCATGATATCCAAAAGGCTGATTATATCTTGTCATTTGTAGCAAATTATAAAACACATTATTTTTGCAAAATACTTGCTAATTTAAATTTTTTCCCAAGACCTGTCTTCCTCCTAAGATGTTCATATCATTCTCTTTGGAAACATCTCTGTTTGCTGATTAGCCTCTTTTCCAATTGGTTAGCTTTTTAGCACTACCAGATTTCATTTGATGGTACTTTTGTTTGAAAATTATGCAGTCTCCAATGTTATTTCAACAGCTTCATAAAATGCTGAAATTTATACAGTATTTGCAATGCCATGTTTCAATGAGTGTATTTCATACACTGTATTTTCAGATGTTTTATAAGCAAGGAGAGATTGACAAAGAATTTTTTTTTTTTTTTGAGACGGAGTTTCGCTCTTGTTACTCAGGCTGGAGTGCAATGGCGCGATCTCGGCTCACCGCAACCTCCGCCTCCCGGGTTCAGGCAATTCTCCTGTCTCAGCTTCCTGAGTAGCTGGGATTACAGGCACGTGCCACCATGCCCAACTAATTTTTTGTATTTTTAGTAGAGACGGGGTTTCACCATGTTGACCAGAATGGTCTCGATCTCTTGACCTCGTGATCTACCCGCGTTGGCCTCCCAAGTGCTGGGATTACAGGCTTGAGCCACCGCGCCCAGCCGACAAAGAAATATTTTGAGATGATGAAAAGTATTTTTAGATGTTTATAATCAGGGAGAGATTGACAGATATTTTGAGATGATGAGATGAGAGTGTTAAGGGTGTCTTGTTTGGAAGAGAAATAATTTTATAATTGATCAGTTCTTGATTGACTTTTCATGTTATGATAATGTTTATATCTCTATACAATTCAAAATGTTGGGGAATTAGTTTTAAAAATACTGATGTAATGAGAATACCTGTGTTAAAAACCAGTACCAATGTTTAAGACAATGTGTAGCTCTGTTGCCCAAACTGGGGTGCAGTGGCGTGATCTCGGCTCACTGCAACCTCTGCCTCCTGAGTTCAAGTGATTCTCCTGCCTCAGCCTTCTGAGTAGCTTGGATTGCACAGGGTGGCATGCGCCACCACACCTGGATCATTTTTTGTATTTTTAATAGAGGCAGGGTTTCACCATGTTGGCCAGGCTGGTCTCAAACTCCTGACCTCGGGCCATCTGCCCACCACGGCCTCCCAGAGTTCTGGGATTACAGGCATGAACCACTGAGCCCAGCCTCCAATTTAACTTTAATTTCTACTGCCTCTGATTTGCATATAGGTATCTGTCTGAGCCTAAATTTTCCTTTTCCTGTGTCAGTATCATCTTTACTTTGGCAAAACATAAAAAGATAAATTTATGTAAACAATATCACCTCCCCATATGTACCTCAAACCAGTTATTCAAACATCCTGTCATTGAATTGTATAGTTCTCCAAAAGGGTTTTCAGTATTCCCATGTTCATTGTTAATTGTTTTATAAACATCAGGAATTGGAACCACTTTTCTCCTCTTTGTAATTCCTTGGAAACTTCCCCAACCTTTTATAACTGGTTACTAATTAAGAGAACAAAGTGCTTTTATTTTTTTTTTTAATGGTTAACTGGCTTTTTACTGGATTAATTCTTAGTTGAATTACTTACATTTTACTTATTTTCTCCAACTGTTCAATCAAAACAGTAATGCTTTACTCTTTTGGTGGTATTAACAGTATTGGACTGTTTCAACTTACAGATTTTATTTGAAGAACCTCTAAGAAGGTGTTTTAATAACAAGTTAGGTTTTTAAATAATGTTTTGTTTATCAAGACAGCTTTATTTTGACTTGAATCTACTTGTTAAGAGGTAAAATTGGTAAATTATATTCACCTCTAGAAGAGTTAACAATTAGGCCTTGATTCTCATCCTTTTTCAACCCTCTAGGATAAGCAAGGACTTCCTTGGTGGCTTGGAATCAGCTATAAGGGAATTGGCCAGTATGACGTACAAGACAAGGTGAAGCCTCGGAAGGTAAGAGGGAATCACTTCAGACCTTAGGAGAACTTTGAACTGTTCAAAAAGATGTTAATTTCAATATGGTTGACAAGCACACACCATGAGGTTTTGTTGTTTTTCTGTTTGGTTTGGTTTTGGTGGCTTGTTGCTGTTGTTTTGAGATGGAGTCTCACTTTGTCGCTCAAGTTGGAGTGCAGTGGGGTGATCTTGGCTCACTGCAAAGTGTTTCTCCTGCCTCAGCATCCCAAGTAGCTGGTATTACAGGCATGTGCCATGACGCTTAGCTGATTTTGTACTTTCAGTAGAGATGGAGTTTCACCATGTTGGCCAGTTCGGTCTCAAACTTCTGAGCTCAAGTGATCCGACCACCTTGGCCTCCCAAAGTGCTGGGATTAAAGGTGTGAGCCACTACACCCAGCCACAAGCACACACCATTAGGTTCTATTTTAAGTTATTATGAATGGGATGATGCCATTTATTTTATGAATTTTATATATTTATACATATACATATTTGAATTCGATGGTAGACATATAAATGAATAATAAAGACGTAAGCCAAAATTTTTGGTGCTAGTGATCTCTCAATGATGCAGGCATAAGTCATCTTCCTTCTACTGCTGCTATTATTTCTGTTTCACAATATTCTGCAGTGAATATGTCTGCTTTTTGTAAAGACAAATCATTTCTGTGCTCTTTATTAAGGGCCACAGGCCAGGCATGATGGCTCATGTCTGTAATCCCAGCACTTTGGGAAGCCAAGGCTGGCAGAGCAGGAGATCAGGAGTTCAAGACCAGTCTGGCCAACATGGTAAACTCCATCTCTACTAAAAATACAAAAATTAGCCAGATGTGGTGGCAGCCACCTATAATCCCAGCTACTTGGGAGGCTGAGGCATAAACATTGCTTGAACCTGGGAGGCAGAGGTTGCAGTGAGACAAGATCATATGACTGCACTCCAGCCTGGGCAATAGAAAGAGACTCCATCTCAAAAAAAAAAAAAAAAAAGAGGGTCACAATCTATCAGATTTGGATTTCCAGGGCTAAATAAGTTACATTAATGTCCATTTAAAATTTTATTGTGAAGCTGTTTTTTAAAAATTTTGTTATTGGCCAGGCGTGGTGGCTAACGCCTGTAATCCCAACACTTTGGGAGGTCAAGGCAGATGGATTGCCTGACCTCAGGAGTTTGCAGTTAGGCTGGGCAACACGGTGAGACCCCATTTCTACTAAAATACAAAAAATTAGCTGGGCATAGCATCGTGTGCCTGTAGTCCCAGTTACTCAGGAGGCTGAGGTCAGAGAATTGCTTGAACCTGGGAGGCGGAAGTTGGAGTCAGCCAGATCACACCACTGCACTCCAGCCTGAGAGACAAGGTAAGACTCCATCTTAAAAAAAAATCTCCATAATCTATTGCTAAATGACAGTCAAAGAAAAAAAAAAAGAAAGAAAGAAAGAGAAAAATATATATATATTTTTTTTTTTTTTTGAGATGGAGTCTTGCTGTGTTCTCCAGGCTTGATGGAATGCAGTGGCCTGATCCCAGGTCACTGCAGCCTCAACTTCCCTGGCTCAAGCAGTCCTTCCACCTCAGCTTCCCAAGTAGCTGGGACTACAGGCACATGCCACCATGCCCAGATAACTTTTAAAAACATGTTTTGGAGGTATGAAGTCTGGCTATTTTTCCCAGACTGGTCTTGAACTCCTGGGCTCAAGTGATCTTCCCACCTTTGCCTCCCAAAGTGCCTGGAGCTGCTTCTCTTGATCCAAGTTCCAGTGTACAACATGTTTTCACCCATTTAAGAGTTGAAGAATCCATATAGATCACTATGCAGCTGCTCTTGGCCTCCTTTGGTATTATAGTGACATCAAGACTGACTCATGCTGCCCTGATTGGTTTTGCCACTCTCCCTATGCCATGCTGCCATCACTGAAAGCACAGGAGTAAAACAATGGCCTCTAATAACAGACCTTGGTCAGCTACCTGCATAATCACAACCCAACATCACAGCCTTAAATAACTCCTATCATTTCCATCTGTCTCTTGCTTTAATGTGTGTTAGAAAAACAGCCATTCTCTTTATAAAGCAGCCCTGTAACCATACCTACTCTTCATCTTCTAAGTGTCCATGCAGCTTCAGTTGGTGCACACAGTCTTCCTTGAGTTATGAAAATAAATAAAACTCCCCTCTTTTCCCCATTTATGGTTGTGAAACTGACACAGATAACACAAAACAGTAGATTAGGGAAAGCCATATCCTGATTACCCACTCCAATAGTGATCCAGCTTTCCTGGATCAGGCTGGTAAGGCACTGAGGCTTCTTACTGGAAATTACTGATAAGGCTGAGTGTGCCGGCTCATGCCTGTAATCCCAGTACTTTTGGAGGTCAAGGTGGGAGGACTGCTTAAGGCCAGGAGTTCAAGATCAGCCTGAGCAATATGACAAGATACCATCTCTATAAAAAGAAAGAGAGAGAGAGAAAGAAAGAAAAAAGAAAACTTTAAAAAATTAGCCAGTAGCCAGGTGTGGTGGCACATGCCTGTAGTCCCAGCTATGCAGGAGGCTGAGGTAGGAGGATCACTTGAGTCTGGGAGGTTGAGGCTGCAATGAACTATGTTCGTGCCACTGCACTCCAACCTGGGTGACAGAGCAAAATCCTGTATCAAAAAAAAAAAAAATTATCAATGAAAACAACAGTGCATCATTCATCATTCAACAAGCAGTAGAGGACAGTGAGAGAGCTGTCCTCTGTAATCATACTGTTAGCATTTTGATAAGCTCTGTGACCAAGATCAATTTAAGGAATACTTAATTAATTTTCAAGAAGAGTATAAGTACTATTGTTTCTGCTTATATTTCAACATTTACTTCTAAAACCTAATTTCTAATCAATAATATTAGAAATGAAGGACACCCAATTTTTTCACTTTTTTTTTTGAGACAGAGTCTCACTTTGTCGCCCAGGCTGGAGTGCAGTGGCACGATCTCAGCTCACTGCTGCAACCTTCACCTCCTGGTTTTAAGCGATTCTCCTGCCTCAGCCTCCCAAGTAGCTGGAGCTACACGCACACACCACATGCCTGGCTAATTTTTGCATTTTTTAGTAGAGATGGGGTTTCATCATATTTGACAGGCTGGTCTCGAACTCCTGACCTCGTGATCCACCCACTTCGGCCTCCCAATCTGCTGGGAGCCTCCCGAACTGCTGGAAGTCTGCATGAGCCACTACACCCAGATCAAATATTTTTTAAAATCAATTTTTTTTTAATTGTTAGCTTTTTTTTCCCTCCGCACCCAAAGTAAGAAATATTCATCAGGGGAAGGAAAAGGGAAAAAAAAAAAAAAAAAAAAAAAACAGCAACAAACACTACAGAAAATGCATTAGGGGAGGAAGTCTTTCTGCAGTCCCCATTTTTCCCCCATGTCAGCCAACCACTGTTAAGGAAATGGTACTAGTTAATTTAGATTTTGTCAGTGTATATTCTAAGCATTTACAAAGACAGAGAAATCTAATATATAGTGTATCATACCTTGCCATATTTCCCTAGCTCACTTATAAACTGATTTCTTTTTACTTTTTTAAAGCTGCCAAGTGTTTCATTATGTGGAAATGCATAATTTATTTAACCAATTCACTTTGATGAACATCATAGTTGGTTCCATTTGCAGGAATGGAGTTTTCAAAGCATAATAAAAAGTCCCAGTCGGCTGGGCGCTGTGGCTCACGCCTGTAATCCCAGCACTTTGGGAGGCTGAGGCGGGTGGATCACGAGGTCAAGAGATCCAGACCATCTTGGTCAACATGGTGAAACCCCGTCTCTACTAAAAATACAAAACATTAGCAGGGCACGGTGGCGTGTGCCTGTAATCCCAGCTACTCAGGAAGCTGAGGCAGGAGAATTGCCTGAACCCAGGAGGCGGAGGTTGCTGTGAGCCAAGATCGCGCCATTGCACTCCAGCCTGGGTAACAAGAGCGAAACTCCATCTCAAAAAAAAAAAAAGTTCCAGTCAAAGCAAATACCTTACCCTAGTTTATCTATTCTGCAAGACCAAAATACTGCCTATCACGTTTTCTTAAGGTAGACTTTGCCTGTGCTGAGATTTTTTTTTTTTTTTTTGCTAACTTATTTCTCTTCTGAATTTTGCTTAAGAATTAACACTCAGGAGTCTTACTGTTTTTCCTCAATCTTCTATGTAAAATATTACTTAAAGCAACCCACAAGTAATTTCTTTGCTAATGTGGCTTGAAAAGATTGAGATTCCAGTAGAATGTAAATGTGTCTGCTAACAGCACCCAAGCTTTCTCTCAAAATAGTGGTGAATCAGAATCTGCACAGTAAATATTGCTGTTAATTTCCTCTCCTTTACTCATGACTCACAGGCCTTTCTTTACATTCACAGTTTCATAGAAATTGGCAAATATTGCTTGACACTGATCATAATCAGGTTTACTTGTTCATTCCAGAGTCTAGACAAGGCCAGAAGCTACTTCCTTTTTCTGATTTGCAGAGTTTCTCTATTTCATTTTATTAAAAAAAAAAAAAAATCCCTATGCAGTCTGTCTTATCACTTTCTTTTTTCTTTCTTTTTTTTTTTTCTCAAGATGGAATCTTGCTCTGTTGCCCAGCCTGGAGTGCAATGGCTCAGTCTAGGCTCACTACAACCTCTGCCTCCCAGGTTCAAGTGATTCTCCTGCCTCAGCCTCTAGTGAACTGGGATTACAGGTGCCTGCCACCACGCCTGGCTAATTTTTGAATTTTTAATAGAAACAGGGTTTCACCATGCTGGCCAAGGTGGCCTCAAACTCCTGATCTCAGGCTATCTGCCCCTGCTTGGCCTCCCAAAAGTACTGGGATTAGAGGCATGAAGCACCATGCCCAGCCCATGTTATCATTTTCCGGCCTTCTCTTTCTCCACTTTTTTTAAGGGGGTATCTACTCTGTTCCGTTGTTTACTTCTTCCTTTCTTCTTTTGTTAAAACCTGACAATGGATTTTGCTTCCATATATTTA